GACGGAAAGGAATCTCCTTTTGGGGTTTTAAAGTTTTCCATTGTTTGCTCTCTTTTTTGTTGGGTTATGGGGAGAAATTGTAAATCTTTATAGGAGATAGTTGATTTTTTGGGCTCTTTGAGTCTTTAGGGCCTTTTGGCTTTTGTCGCTATATAGTTATTGGGATGCGTTCTCCTTTTGAACGCTTTCTAATACATTCTTACTTATCAAAAAAAAAAAAAAATGTATGTTCACACTCATACATGGGTATGTGTATCTTTTATATTGTGAAGCGCAATGATAGAAAGGTTACGCCATAATCTCGCTTAGGTATCTTTCCATTCTTTTCCAAACTAGTATTGAAGTCTTATGATGCAAGATTAATAGAAATATAGATCAAAATGGTAATATTAGATTTAGTGAAAGCTATGAGTACACATAATGTTTAAATAGAGAATTCACTTTTGGATTGAAAAAAAAAAAATTGGAGTTCGAGGACACAATGTTATTGTAACTCTCAAAGAAGTTATTAAAAATTTCATAATTAAAATAAATTGATAATAAAATTAACAAATTCAAATTGGTATTAGAAGACTGGTGCCCTTCAACCAAGCACTTTTGGGAAAATGGTTGTGGAGTTATGGGGGGGAAAGACATCGCCCTTGGCGAAGGCTTGTTTCATGCCGGTATGAGGACGAGAGTGGTGGTTGGTCTATTCGTCCGATTTCTCTTGTGGGAGGAGTAGGGGCGTGGATATCCATCCGGAAGGGATGGGATGTTTTTTCTACTCATATCAAATTCAAAGATCGTGATAGCAGATGTGTTCGCTTTTGGGAGTATCTTTGGTGTAGAGACCGGCCTTTATCTTGTTTATTTCCCAGATTATACAGTATTGCAGTGGATAGACATACCTACGTAGCTGACTATTATCGGCTTGATAGTAGTGGGATTACGTGGGACATGCACTTTCAACGCTCTTTTTAGGATTAGGAGATAGACGAGGTATGTGTTTTTTTGGATTTGCTGGATCGACAGGAGGCAGTTAGCAGAGGTTGTGACGACATGACATAGATTCCCTCTTCCCATGGTCGCTTCGAAGTTCAATCCTTTTTCTTTTGTCTTTTTTATTTTGATATCGTTGGAAGACTATATGGCGTTCTATGGCTCCAACTAGGGTGACATTCTTTGTTTGGACCGTTGTATGGGGTAAGATCCTGACGATTGATAATCTAAGGAAAAGGGGCAACTGTCTTGTTAACTGGTGTTGCCTATGCAAACAAGACGGTGAGTCAGTTGCTCATATTCTCATGCATTGTCCTGTGGCGAGGGATTGTTGGAATCTTATCTTTTGTCTGTTTGGTATGCGTTGGGTTATGCCTCGTTATCCTAAGGATTTGATTCGTATTTGGAGAGGATGCTGTGTGAGTAGTGTTGTTCGCGATTATTGGAGAGTTGTACCACATTGTGTCTGGTGGTGCATATGGAAGGAGAGGAATAGTAGAATGTTCGAAGGGAAAGAGTCGTCCACGGCGATCTTGAAACTTCATATCATTCGCTCTCTTTTCAGTTACATGAAGAGGAAGTCTTGTTCCTCTCCCGATGATTTAATTATTTTTTTGGATTCTTTGGGGCCTTAAACCCCGGTTCCACTTTTGTATAAGAGATGCGTTCTCCTATTGAACGTCTTTTTAATTCAATTATTACTTACCAAAAAAAAAAATTAACAAATTAAAACAAATAAATATTAATCCTATCTGATGGTGAGAATTAGAGATTCATCCAATAGTATCCCCACACTTTGTATATTTTAAACTTGTGGGAGGAGCTTAATGTTGTGAAGGGGATGTGGTCTCTTCCTTGGTGTTTGGGTGGGGATTTCAACGTGGTTGGGTCCCAGTCGGAAAGATCTTTAGGTGGTAGATGGTCTTTGGCTATGACGCGGTTCTCAGAGTTCATTATGGACATCATCTTATTGACTTACCGCTGGAGGGTGCTGCCTTTACATGGTCCAGTTGTAGGGCTTCGGTCACTCTTTTCCGACCGGACACATTCTTGATTTCTGGGGATTGAGAGGAGAAATTCCCAGATGTCGTTTAGGTGGCTTTGGTTAAGGTGACTTCTGACCACATCCCATTGGTATTGGACTATAAGGTTTGAGATCTCGAAGTACCCCTTTCAGATTCGAGAATGTATAGCTTAGAGTGGAAGATTTTCAAGGGAGAGTTTGGTTTTGGTGGGAGAAAGCCACGGTGGTGGGTACCTCAAGCTTCATTTTAGCGGGAAAGCTTTGTCTCCTGAAAACTGAGCTTAAAAGATGGAATAAGGAAGTTTTCGGGAACTTGTAGTGGAGGAAGAATAAGGCTTTTGCAAAGATTGATTGGCTGGAAGGGGTGGGTGGTATTGTGGAGGCTCGGTGGATTAGGAGAGCAAATTGCCAGACAGAGATTGCTGAGCTTTATGGAGGATATTTTGTGGCGACAGAAATCCCGGGCTTTATGGCTTAAAGAATGAGACCGCAATATGAAGTTATTTCATAGGCTTGCTAATGCCCACAAGAGGGGCAATCATTTTGGGCGGATTCAAGAGGATGTGGCAAAGTTGTGTAGGGAGGAGGAGGTGTGCATGGGGATTGTTTCCTTTTATCAGAGGCTCCACTGTGAGACTTTAGGTTGTAGACCTTGGCTTGATGGCCTTCACTTTCACACAATTCCAGCGATGGATAGGGATGGGCTCGTGATTCCTGTTTCAGAGGAGGAAGTTTTGAAGGCTGAAGAGCTGTAATGGTGACAAAGCTGTGGATCCTGATGGCTTTACTTTTAGGTTTTTGCTGGAAAGCTGGGATGTGGGAAGGAATGAGGTGATGGGCACTTTTCATGAGTCTCTAATGGGAGGTTCGAAACGTCGTTGAACGCGCCTTTCATTGCCCTCATCGCTAAGAGGGGTGGAGCTTCCAATATCAAGGATTTTAGACCAACAAGTCTGTTGTGGTGTATTTATAAGCTTATTGCTAAAGTCAGATTGAGGGAGGTCTTGGATGGTGTTATTTCAGAGTCCCAGAATGCTTATGTTGGTGGCAGGAAGATTTTGGATTCCGCTCTTATTACCAGCGAGTGTGTGGACTCCGGATTGAGTAGTGGCGTTCCTAGAGTTTTGTGTAAGCTCGAAATTGAGAAAGTTTACGATCATGTTAGTTGGAGCTTCCTACTGTATCTGCCAGGGAGGTTGGGCTGTGAAGAGAAATGGAGATGGATTGAGGCTTTTATTTCCTCTGTCAATTTTATTGTTTTATTGGCAGTTCTCGAGGCTTGAGACAGGGGGATCCCCTTTATCTATTTTTGTTCATTATTGTTATGGTGTTGTTTGATAACTCATTTCAGCACTTAATTCTGAACAAGTGCATTTGATAAAGTAATTTGAATATCACTGAAAATGATAAGCGCCACTTAAAATGGAGTACAATTTTAAGTGACAGGGATATCACTTTTCACTGAATGCTACGCTGAAAAACAAAAAGATGTAAATATAAATATATATATATATATATATTTTTAACTACTAAAAAACTTTAGCACTTAAAATTCAGTACTTAAAATTTTTCAGTACTTAATTTCCAGTTTTATCAAATAGCACCGTAGTAGATTGATGAGGAGGGCAGTGGATTTAGGCTTTATCAGGGGCTTTAAGGTGGGATCATAATATTAGATAGGGGGAGGTAACTCATCCTTAGGGCAAGTCTACTTTGATCGAATTCTCTCACTACACTTTGGGCAAGGAATTGTTCAACCACAGTGCTAGGCCAAATCCTGCTCTAAATTTTCTGTTTGCAGATGATACCTTGGTATTCTGTGATGTGGATGTGTCTCAATTGAGATATTTGAGGTGTGGTCTGGTTTGTTTTTAGGCAGTCTAAGATCTGAAAGTTAAAGTTAATGTGGGTAAGAGTGTGCTTGTTCCCGTGGGGGAGGTTCAGGATGTTGCTTCTCTTGTTGCGGTTCTCGGGTGTGGGATGAGTTCTTTCCCAATTTCTTACCTGGGTTTGCCTTTGGGTGCTTTGTCGAGGAGGGTGGGAGGTTGGGATCTGGTGCTTGAGTGGTTTGAGAGAAGATTGGCTTGGTGGACGAGGCATTATCTTTCGATTGGCTTTGGTCCTTATAGCTTTCGGGATGCGTTCTCCTTCTGAACGTTTTTTAATAAACTTCTACATATCAAAAAACAATTCCATAGAGATTTATTTATAATTTTTATTTATTTATTTTTATTTCAGGACAACAACAACAACCAAACCTTTTTCCAATTACTTGGAGTCAGCCACATGAATCCCATGTTTTCATTCTGCTTTATTTAAAGACAATAGCCTCAGTCAATCCACATGCTATCATTTCTTTCTTTACTAACTAAAAAAAAAATCAAGTGCATTGTACTTGAAAGGCACTCTAGATGGATCACAATACAGCATGATGTAATTCTATTTACCTCGAATCTCCTGGAATAGCTTTTAATGTGACCAAACCAAAGGTTTTGTTTGCATTGGTAAAATGACATGAAAATGAAAAATGGAGCCAAAAATCTTATACATGTACTTTTGGGAAACATTACTAAATCGAAAACAAAATTTGGAGGAATGGAAACTTAATCAGATACTGTTTTGAATGAATAAAGGTATGGAAACATATTAAATTTTTTATATTTTAGGGAAAGAAAAGGCTCTAAAACCAGTTTTCCTGATGTTACAGATTGATTTTACATAAAAGCAATTAATCTAGGTTTTCCTAAGCATTAGTATGCATACAAGGATTTTCCTTAGTAAAGCATTTTTGTAATATTAAGTGATCTTACTGTTTTGTTGGGAATTTTATTGTGGTAACCGTTGCTGCTATGCTTGTTGATATTGAGTGTCACTCTCTTGTTTTTTTTTTTTCCTGGGCTAGTGTCACTCGTTTGTTTAACAAGATTTTGTCCTTGAACTCTGCATGCTTTAATGTTTTCTGTAGTTATGCACATAATATTTTTGTACTCTGCAGCTCCCTAAAGGTACACATCAGTGGTCGAGCTTTCTTACCCCTGAAGAACTAGTCTTGATCCTACAGCGTGCTTCCATTACTGTAAGCAAAATACGTACTTTCATTATACTAATCTGTGATATCCTTGGAGCATTAGTAAAATTCAAATTTTACAATGTTGAATCTTCCCTTTTTGGTAAATTTGTTTGCTCTCTGATTGGGTTTGCCAGGTCCAAGAGATGGCTGGAATTGTGTATAAACCCTTGACAGGAGGATGGGCTCTATCTGATGATGTTAGTGTAAATTATATTGCATTTTGTACCAAAAAAGGACCAATAATGTAATGGAAAATTTATGTTGAGCTAAATTTGTCTCTAAGCTAGTTTTTTATTATTATTATTTTTTATTTTTTGGCAAGAAACTCACACACGCACTTTGTCCATTTGGGGACTCGAACCCTCACCATCCACTTTGGAAGGTAGAGGAGATACCAGAAGGCCCTTGGTTCTAAGCTAGCTATTTCATACACCCTTATCTCCAACTTGTTCTTGTTTAGTCCAATATACCAACTCTCTACAGCCAGAGCTGAGATTATGATATGAATTCCCATATACTTATTAGGGAACAAGCATGAATAGTGACCCTTGGGACCTGAAACCAATGTCTTGCATCTTTGGGAGAGGTTGGCTGTGTTAAGTCATATCTGGTTAAGTCATAGGAGTACTAGTTTATACTTCAGTGGATTATGTGGACAGTGGAAAAGCAATTCTACAAGAGAGCTGGCAATGTTTATAACTAGGTCTGGCCACACAAAATCATACCTGATTAATTATGGGTGGTTGGAATCAGGCCTCAGTTCGATTCCTATCAAGTGCAAACAATTCTTTGGAGGGGATGTGTGAGTACCAACTAGAAAAGAAATTATGAGTAGGTAGATGCATGAATATTCTAACTCGGTGATGGTATTGATATAATAATAGGTCTTAACCACTTGAGAGAGGGTCTAAGCGTGAGGATAAGGTTGTTCCATTGTAATTCGGAGGTTACTGGTTCAAAATAAGGAAACAATTTTTCTACATACGGAAGCAATATTGCGTAACAAAGTAGTGTATTTTTTAAATTTCACTTTTCACCTATGTAGCATTCACATGGACATGGGATACGGAAACGACACGAATATGTCGACACGCCAAAATTTTAGAAAGTATGAAATGGGTACGGCTTGGACACGGCTATATAAATATGAATTTTTATTTATATGCATGTATTAAATAATAGTATTATAAAACTTTAATTCATTTTTTATTTTTATACTAAGAGTTGTTATGACTTTTATTTTATATATATAGTATTCCACTACTTTATCTAATAGTGCTTTTATTTTAAATGAACAAATATCATTTAATACTTCGTTTGTGATCATATGTGTGTCAAATTTTCTTTAAAAAAAAAAAATTGAACACTTTAGAATATAATCATCATATTACCGGATAGGCTTATGTTAGAAAAGTTTGAAAGTGTCGGTCAAGTGTCCAAAATTATAAATATTTATTTTTATTTACGGACACGTATATGAAGTGTCGGACACGTATCCGAGGAGTGTCCAACGAGTATCGGTATCGACACAGACACGATATGAGTATAACTCTTTCGTAGAAGTGTTCGTGCTTCAAAGCTTTTCGCCTAAGTTGAATTATACAAATGCACTTTAGAATCACCATTCAGAATTATTTCATGTCCAAAATGGCCCTATTGAAGAAGTGGTGTTAAGAGAGGAAATAAAAGAAATTTGATGTATGGGTTTGATTGAGCTGGTGCAACTAAATGTAAATTTAAGTGACACTTTTAGGCTTTTAAGTAGCGTGTATTGTAATGAAGTGTGTATGTTGTTCTTCTAGCTAAAGGACATCAAACCGTTATACGCACCAAACAATTTTTCTTATTCAAGTCCTTAAGGCTACGTTTGGTGTGCAAGAATAAAATGGAATGAGAATGGAATTGAGACTCATTCCATTGTTTGGTGTAACACTATGAATCATTATGGAATGGAATGATTATTACCATTCTATTATTTGGTTAACTATCATTAAATCTGGGATGAAATGATTTTTTTCAAAAATACCCCTTTCATTGACTTACATTACTTTTTAATAAAATCAATCTAATTAATATTCTGACGATAAATTATGGGATGTTATAAGATTGTTATGAGCTGCCCAATATTGCCATTAAAAAACAAAAAATAAATAAAATAAAATAAAATAAAATAAAATATTATTTTTAATAAGATATTAATCTTAATAAATGACTGTACAAGAGAAAATATATGAATTCTCAAAAGACGCAAGCACAAAACCTTAGCCACTTTCCATCCCCATGGTCACAATAGTATCCTACAATTGACTTTAAATCTTGGACAGATTCAAGTTTTACAACTAAACCAATCCACCATGATTGAAGACACACAAATAAATTTGTCAGTACAATTTTATTCAAAAAGGGGTTGAATACTTAACCTAAGAAACTTATGTAAAGGCCAAAAAATAAAAAATATATACTTTTTTTAATGATATATCAATTTCAATAATATATATATATAAATTATTTGAAGCCAAAAAAATAAATAAATAAATAAAGAGAGAGAGAGAGAGAACTAATCAGTGAAAAATAAAGAAGCTTGCGAAAGATTTTTTGTCCATGCGAAATTTTTTTGCCTTATTGGAAAGTGATGAAGGGCTTATTGGGAATATAGCAAAAATATTTAATCTTAATATAGAATGGAATGGCCATTCCATAGATTTACTAATGAAATTGATTTTCATTCTCTGAAATGAATTTTTATTCTAATGAAATGGTCATTACATTCCATTCTTGCACACAAAATAAATGAATGATTGAAATAGGCATTCTATTCCATTACTGCACATCAAACATAGGAAGCCCAAAAGAAGAGCATATAACACAAATCTCAACTGGTTTTCGGACGATTTCGTTATTCAATCTCCCTTGCGGTAAAGCAACCCGGCGGCCTCTTTGAGGATTTTGAAGGAAGAGATAGCTAGCACTTAACTAATACTCTAGAGAAAGAGTAAAGGCAAAACTATACATCAACTACAAAAAAATAGGTTCCATCTATAAATGCCTTCTTAGTGGAGGCCTTTTGATATTAAGAAGCTCACCCAATCACTATCTAAATTTTATATATTTAATTCCAAATGCATTTTGGTTGATGTTGTTTTAAATGTTTTTAGGTGTTCACATTTGTTTTCTAAACCACCCAAAGACTCATTTTTTCTCATGAATAAAATACAATTTATAAGAAAATTTGAAGTGTGAATAAAAAAGGGAATATAATTTAAGAATGTTGTAATCATGGATTCCATTAGGGGTGTGACTTGGGCAAGGGTGATGCCCATGCTAGACTCAAGGTAGTACCACTTCAGTTTGTTACAAACCCAAGTCTGGAAAACCTCGGCCTCTAACAAGCTCAAGTCTCGAGAAATTTATTACGTACATCTCAACTATATTGTACGAATTTATTGAATTGTCCAAAATATTAGTAATTTGATAATAAATACCAATATAATATTAAAATATGCATTAAATATCAATATACAATTTACATTAAATAAAATCATTAACAATTGCTTCCAAAGGTTATAGTCTTTTTGAGAAGCATAGGTCTCGAAGAACTTATTACATCTCAACTTTGTCCAAAATATTAGTAACATGCTAATAAATAGGAAATAACAAAAAGCAAATGCTAAGATATATGCACTAAATGCTTACATGAAATAAAATCACTAACAATTGATTCGAAAGCTTATATTCTTTATTATTATTATTTTTAATCTAAATTTAACTAGTATTAGTATTAAATTTAAAAGTAACTGCGTTACAACTTGGGACATTTATAAATATTTTTTTATGATTTGTTATAATTATATTGACCTTTTATATGATTTGAGACTGCCCCTAGCAATGAAAATATGCAGATGAAAATATTCTGCATAGACTTTTTTTTTGTTAGAGTTAACGTAGATGGAACTGGCTGACTTTATGTTCAAATTTTACTAAAATTCCCGTAATACCTTGTCCCTACCGATTGATATATATATATATATATACACACACACAAACCCTTGTCCCGACAACGAAGTCGGCGCTGCAAATTCACTCACCACCAAAACCCTGGTCCCGGCGACGAAGTCGGCGCTGTAAGTTCACTCACCACCAAAACCAGTCCCCTCTTTGCTTTGTTCTATGTTTCTCTCTATATATATTATATATGTATATATATCATTCTATGGCTGTGGTTGAATGGTGGTGATGGTGTTGCTTGGTGGCGATTGTGATAGGAGGTGGAGGATAGAGAGAAAGAACAAGGGAGAAGAAAAAAGGAATAAAGGGGGGAAAACAACTAAAAGGGGATTTTTATCAGAGATCTAGAAGTTTCCTCCACCTCCTCCTCTTTTTTTTCTTTCTTTCTATGAGCTGCAATTACAAAGAACTGAGAGAGTAGTGAAAAACCAAGCAAAGCTCACCCAATCCCCGATGCTCAGATTCTTCACCTATTGAAACCCTCCTTTGATTCCTGAGTCCATCACAAACCCAACAAACCAACCTCCCCTCCCCTCCCCAATACCAACCATATCACGAAGCGAGACCACTGTCTTCCTCCTTATCAAGAACAATCCAGCGGCGATGGCGGCGGCAGTTATTCTAATTCAATGGCGGCGGATGGAAAAGCTAAGATGTGGGAGGAAACTGAACAGGACGATGAGCTTCTGGCGGTTTTGAGTTACAAGGTCAAGTCCTTAGACATGGTTGCGGTGGCCCAAAAGCTCGAATACCAGTGACCAAAATGAATTGTTATCTCACCTGGCTTTGGACACAGTTCACTATAGCCCTTCTGATTCTGATCTCTCTTCTTGGCTCGCATCCATGATTTTCGAACTCAACCCTCTCCCTCTCCCCAATTTCCCCAATTTTGATTCCATTCCGTCTCCACTTCTGGCGATCGATGACCCATTTCTTGGCCCAGCCGAATCATCCACTATCACCTCACTCGACAATAATTGCTCTCTAATTTTCGAAGACCCATCTTTAGACTACGATCTCAAAGCGATTCCAGGTAAAACAGTCTACTCCCAAATCCAATCGTCTCATTCGCAGACGTCAAATTTAAACAAACGGTTGAAGCTCTATTCTGGGTCTTCATCCTCTACTGCTTCGTCGATGCCGGCGGCGGCGGTTGGGGGCTTGGGTTCTCCGCCGATTGAGTACAATTTGGTTGACTCGCAAGAAAACGGTGTCCGACTCGTCCATGCTCTAATGGCATGTGCAGAGGCAGTTCTTTTGATTCACCACTCACCAGTAATAATACAGCCATA